GAAGACAGAGCTTAACCTGGATACTTCACTAAAACGCCAAGCACTGCTGCGATATACATGAAGACAGAGCTTAACCTGGATACTTCACTAAAACGCCAAGCACTGCTGCGATATACATGAAGACAGAGCTTAACCTGGATACTTCACTAAAACGCCAAGCACTGCTGCGATAATCATGAAGACAGCTCTTAACCTGGATACTTCACTAAAACACCAAGCACTGCTGCGATATACATGAAGACAGCTCTTAACCTGGATACTTCACTAAAACACCAAGCACTGCTGCGATATACATGAAGACAGAGCTTAACCTGGATACTTCACTAAAACGCCAAGCACTAATGGACAATCCTAGAACTCCCCTTGGATAAAAACGTCATATAAAATCTCACAGAGTGACATCAGGTATCTACGTGCTTAGATTAATCTTGCCGGGATGAATACAGCCTGTCACGTGGCTGAAGATTTTAATTTCTTAGCCAACATACAGAGAAGGACCCACATGCTGACGATCTTGAACTGGATCCATGAGTGAAGAATGACAACAAAGGCCCCAGTGTGCTGGGGGGTGGGGGTGGGGGGTCTTTCAGCTGTCCGGTGTCAGCGCGGTCCATAAACAAACAAAGACACATAATGGGGCGTCAGTCAGGGGGCGGGGTGTGAGTATCGGCCTACAGCCGGCGCAACAACGTCGGACTGTTTTCCAAGCAAAGGGAACAATTTCACACCTGCCGAATGGCGGCGGCTGGCAGAGACGAGGCTGTGCGTGACCCCCCCCAGCCCAGGTGGGAACCTCTTCAGGTGCGTGGACCTGCTGAGTGTTGCCAGATGCGGATCTTAGGAGGGTCCACTGACACGCAAATGTCAGAGATATGCAGGGAGGTTGTGGGAAGACACCAGGGGCCTGTACTACGAAGGGGGTTTAGCCAAATCAGATTTAACCCGGAGTCAATTTGCGAACGCGGGGTTGACAGAACCAGGTTGTTTCAATCGATGCTAATCAGTACTACGACGCCAGTTAAGAAGTTGATTTGTTAAGTCGGTGTTAACTGCATTGGAGTTTGTGTGCGTTCACATGAATGGAGCACGATCGGCACTGTAAGTCACCGTTTGACTCGTGGTGCGATCTCCATGTTTCACGGAGGAAGACTGCATGCTAATTATGCAGGGTTATGAGGAGTTTACATCAACACTGCAAGGAAAGTCCGATACCACTGCAGCCAGCAAATGCAGGCAGGCTTGTTGGCAACGTGTTGCAGACTGAGTAAATGCATAAGTACATTTTCTTGGTCTAAAATATCTCACGACCGAGTATTAGACTTGAAGTGTTGTCTGAAAACAATTGAAATACTGTTAATAAATAGAGGCTCACGGATGTGACACAATTCAGAAGTAAGCCTATTATTTGCTGTTAAGTAATGTAATGCTCCCTAAAGTTACATTACTGTGATGTTACTCATAATGTAAACGTAATGTTAACAATAACTTAACTCCGATTTCAAATGCAATAGTAGTGGAAAGCGTACGTGTCAGCAAGTCCAGATGAAATATAAAAACATCACGTCAAGTGGTAGGGATATGTTATTTATATTTCTGTATAGCCAGTGTCGTACGGATCATCCAGGTACGCCGGCATTGTCTTCGGAGAAATTGTAGTTGGAGGGGCGGTGCTCATATAGGGCTGGCTTACGCAGAAACCTCGACTTAACCAAGAACATAACCTGCTCGGAGCAGGTTTGAGACGCAGTGTAAATTGCCATAGCAGCAGGTCTCAAGTAAAATCTAACCACCTTTCTTAGTACTAGTTAATCCCAAAGTTACACCACACGTCATCAAGTTACTCGCAAAGTTACCCCGATAAGCCAGTAACCCCACTTCTCGTAGCACAGGCCCCAGGTGTGTGACCGATGTCTGTGTGCTTGCAGAACCATGCAAAGTGTTTTTAATCAGCAGCCAAACCAGCAGCAGTTGCTCCATAGAGGTAGAGCAAGCAGTATCTCCTCTATATTTTGAGATTAAATTTGAACCAATTAACTCTGAAATAACTCATTACTATTATGCTACCGTCATTCAAAATCACATTTCTTTGGAAAAACGCACTATTGTAATATTGTAAAATTTATTATCCCCATACCTAGCCTAGCCCGCAGCCATAACTGCCCAAAACCATGTAACATTCAGTAATGTTAATATTAATAATTTCACAGAAGTATGTGATAATTTTCGGCTGGGGGGTTTCATGTGGCCTGACTGTGAGCTGCGTGTATGGGAGTGTCTGCACGTGTTGACTCCGCCCATTGGGCTCCCTAGCTCGGCTTGCGATTGGTGGCTTTCTCCGGTTGTCACCTGCTCTCACCTCCTGCTGCGGTACGCTTCCAGCTCCTGCTGCTGCAGTGCTGCTCTCTTCTGAAGGAATCCCACCTGCAGACCAGAGAGAGTGCTGACAATCCACCTCCCAGGCCAGCAGGGGGAGCAATACTTAGGGAGCTCATTCAGAAAGAGCTCTGTGGGGTGGTGTGCAGATGCGAAGTCTGTCATTTCGCGCTGGAATCGCTTGGTTCGAAAATGCAGGAGAGGAAACCAGGGTTCTGTGCACCATTATCATCACATACAGTGTTGCCAAGGGCAGGTTTGAGATTCAGCTACTATATCCTTAAACAATTTACCATTCCTGAATGATGACACTGCTTATATTTGTCTTACCATTTCATTTATATAGGTGGTCCCAGTGAGGCAAAAGGAGACCAATTACTTCTAAGCTAGAAGCAAACCTATTAATCCACAGCAGTTTTAGCCCAAGTTCCAACTACATTCTGTTCTATAGACCAAAGTGACATTCAGTAACATGTTATTTTCTTGTTAGTAGATGCTGTGGGTAGAGATCCCAGTGAGCAGGACATAGGACCACATTCACAGGCTGGTGCAGTGACAGAACGTCCATTGTTCTGATGCTATTATGCAGGACCTGATGGACATTCTTCCAGAAACCTCAGCTAAGGTCTACAGTTACTTACTGTAAACAGAAGTACTGCTTTAGGGAATGTGGAGATTAAACTGTGGTCAAATGTTCAAAATAACTGCAGGCTTAAAAACTACATGTTAAAATACACTAGATGACAACAGTGGGGATCAGTTATGGAGAGCCCAGCTACAGCTGTCTGACAGCGTGGGGATGTGTACTGGGGCTCCTGGAATGTCACCCTAGGACAAAAGACAATGGCCTGTAAACCCTTAGTAATGTGCCTTGGGGCAACTGTCAGGATGGCTAAATTGGTCCATGTCGGTGACAGATGAGCTGCACTCAATCAATGTTGCCAGAGAGAAAACAAACCTGCAGTTCATTCACTGATTATTCGACTAGCTCATTCTCATACAAGCATTAGGAAATACAACCGTATGTGGCTTATTTATAGCGTGTCCCACAGCACGGTACGATTCCCGAATCAGAAAGCTGTGGATTAATTTTCTCTAACGGCACACTTAGTGCTAGTCAGGTGAATCACAGTAGTAAATCAATCAGGGGTGGGTAGTTCAGGTCCAGAAAGTAAAAGTCCAGACCAAGATTTTGTTTCGACCAACCAGTTGAGCATAAAGAGTCACAGAGTACTGAAGTGGTTGGTTGAAACAAAAAAGTTGGTCTGGATTTGTACCTTCTGTACCTGAATTACCAAACTCTGAAATAAATGCGTGATTATAATCTATAATTTTAATTAATGTTACTTACTAGGGAGGACCAGATTATCTATGCCAAGCCAGACACTATGAGCTAGGACAAAATTTTTTAAACTACTATTTCAATTAAACGGACCTGGATTTCACTTAAGCCCAGAGTTCTTGCTGTGTGCTGATTGGTCAGTCTCCGATACTCATGCATGCGTCACTAATGTTAATGTGAAACAGCTGGATGAGTCTTTCGATCAAGGAAACAAACCAGTCAAAGGACAAGAAGAAATGAACTATTCAGCCAAGCGCAGGAGCCTTTCAGTTTTAAAGAAGTTTGTAAAACCTGAAGTAAAGTGTCGGACATGGATTAACTGGTCACCTTATACTTAACGGAGATTAATACATATTTACATTTCATTGCCTTCGCAGCCGTACATTTCAAAACATATAAAGCACTGTTTACAGTGCATTCTCCTGCTGATTTCACGCTTACTACACATTTGGCTGACGTTTGCACGTAAAAACTGGCTTTTAGGCTCAGCGGCAGGAAACATCTACCTAACGACTGGCTTATGTTCTTAATGACGGAATTTTTTTTGGTACATTAATAGTGGCTTGGGTCATACGTAGCTAAAATATGTAGAGACCTGGGCGATATAAATTTTTTTATACCGTCCAGACATTACACCACGGAATATGGGATTTCGACTCTTTTAAAAAGCAACGTCGCTCCAGTATTCTGAAATCCCCCAAGATACAGTTGTCACGCGGGTGAGACCCCCGCTCACCTGCGAGCGCAGCGAGGTGATGGTGCCGTCCAGCTCCCGCCGCAGCGACGCTGGCATCAGCCCCTTGATCTTGAGCTCACACTCCTGCCGAACCTGAGTGACCTGGGGGGGGGCAGACATACGCGTCATGCTGAGTCTCAGGCTGCCATGTGGGGAGGTGGTCCTATCTGATGGCTGATTACACCGTCCGAGGCACCGGTCAGGAACACCCCCACATTACACACATTTGGGGGGGGGCAGGATACCCGCTTCCTGGCTGTCCACTGCCTGTGTCCTTCATTTGGCTGGAATTCCACCATGTGTCACTGCTGCAGGCCACCAGTGCTGGGGCCAGATGTTTTCAACAGACTCTGACTTTTTATTTATGACTTTTTGTTTTGGTGGGGAGGCCGGGTTGATATTGAGGATGGCAAAGATGGCCACCCTTCCTAAAATAATTGCCCTGGTCGTGGACTTGAGCAGAAGTCCTACCCTTTCTGAAATTTCTTGGGGCCGAGGTGACAGGGCAGGTGGACCTGCACTGCCTCTCCTCTGCTTCTCTGACATTTTCCTGGGGGGCTTCTTGTGATGTTTTATCCTGTATGAGTACTAGGCATGGTAAGGCTAAGCGTGAGCCATTTTCAGGAATTATATGCTGGGGAGGGGGGGGGCTTGTGTGTAAGAATATTGCCACCCAAGGAGTAGATTGGTAAACATCAGATCTTATCAGATCTTTCCTGTATTTCTGGATCTTTCTCAGGTATTGTGCCATAGAGCTGTTTCCACGGCGATGCAGCCCAGTGCTCCCGGGTCTTTTGCTGTGCCGATTCAGACGCGGAGCGCCTTGGTACCAAATGCCGCCGTCTTGCGGCGCCTCTTCCTCCGTTGACAGTAAACCCGGTTTATTTAAGGTGCTTGTCACACAGATGTCTCCAGTGATGGATGCTAAGAGGTTCTGGCTGGTGTAGGCCTACCCACCCTTCAGTACGGCACCTCGCCATAAACAGCTCCGCCCACAGAGCTTGTCGCTTTTAACGTGATGCAACGGCATGTAAACTCCCCGAAAGGTGTCACCAAAAAAAAAAAAAAAAGAGCCAGAACATGAAATAGGGTTTACTCAGAGCAAGGCTTTTACATCTCGAGATTAAATCAGTTCTTCCTTAAGATTTGTTCCCTCCTTCAGATAAGTCTGCTTCTTTCTCAGCCAAATACAGCCGCCGTGTTTGGATGCATTCAGCACTGACGGGGCAAACAGCCGAAAATGGGGCCGTGATGCTTTTGATAACTCAGACTAAACTGCCGCCGCATTGCAAGGGGCTTGATGTGGGCCGACGTGGGAGGGGAGATAGCAGCCTTGCAGCATGGGGGGGGCATGACAAGGACCTGATGGGTGTTTGGCTCCATGTCTGAAACTGCACACCAGAGGGACAGGTAAAAAAAATAAATAAAAAGGTTTTCAATTCCAAACAATATACAAACCAGGAACCAGGAGAAGTCTGACAACGTTACATTTTGGTACACGGTCACTGTCACATCAATGGGTGACAAATCTGTAAAGGACAGCGTCCCAGTTAATGTATAAACACTGTATATGCATGCCAGTGGGCCAGGGAGAGGGATGGGAACGCAGCAGGGGACACCAGGTAGAGCCCATCGCCTCCAAAGCGAAAATCTGAGTGGCTGAACTGTCAGTTCAGTGACGGACAGGTGGCATCAGGGAGAGTAATCAGCATGGTCACACGACAGCAGAAAGTGTTGTGACAAAAAACAGGGTCGACCTGACATCAGACAAACCCCTAAGAACACGGACACCACGCCTTGCTGAACCACAGAGAAACGCTCAAACGCCACGAGGCAGCGGCGACCAGCAGAAATACCTGCTGCTGCATCTCCAGCTCCTTGCTTATTAACTGCTTCTCGACAGCATGAACCTGCCTCTGCAAGTTCTCCACCTTCTCCTGCAGAACCTGCACAGGGAGAATGAGAGATGGACAGAGAGGAACCATTAATCTCTACTGTGCAGAAGTGATACCACTGCAGCAATACAGTGGAAAGTTGAATAGGAGTAAATTAAATTAGACAGTACTAGCAGCAGCGTGGTTTGGGACAGTATGGAGATGAGACAGCAGGCCCATACAGCATCACGCTGAATTATGGCTCACTAAGGGCGGTCTGACCCACTCCTCCTCCACGGGACGCTATCACCAGTCACCCACTCATCTGTCGATCTGACTTTTTAGGGGAGGAAGTAACAAAGCTGTTGCAGATGTTGGAACGTGATAGTCTTCATGTCCCGTAAACAGTGGCTCCGAACACAACAGGCCAGAAATGAATCACCGGATTATTACAACACACACACACACATTTGTATTCATATATTTGTGGGGACTCTTCATTCATTTCTATGGGGAAAAACCCTAATCCTAAAAATGACAACCTTAACCCCTACTCAGCCCTAACCTTAAGTAACCAAACAGAATACAAGACTTTTGGCATTTTTCGTTTTTTGATTGCAGTCACAGATTTTTTATAAAATTGAGTGTCCCCTTCTAGGCACCAAAAAAATGGTAACAGGTTTGTATCACACTGTGGGGACATTTGCTCTCCATAATGTAATATACACATAACCCACCCGCACGCACGCACCATCCCACCCACTCACCACATGCACACCTTCAAAGATGAAACCCTGGACTTATTTCCTGGGTGGTCCTTGTGTGAAGATCAGCGGAGCAGTGCACTCTGGGTAAGTAAAAGCTTTGTCTGGTTAGTAGTAGAAACTCTTGATGTGGATCTCTATTTACGGCACCACGCAGAAAGATTTACAAACGTTAAAACGGCAGATTAAAGGGATCCCTTTAACTATCGCTGGTAAGGAGCAAGACGAATTCAAACCTTCGAACCCAGGACCCCAGAGCCTGTGTGGGATACAGGCTGACACCACACCAAACCACCAAAAAGCCCCAGACTCCCGCAGGCCCAATGTGTGTGAGGGGGGAAATGAAAATGAATATTTTTTTGCTCCCCACCATGTTGATCTCAATCCTTCAATTATTGCTGCTGACGTCTGATGCTTGGCGAGTGGCCTGACAGGGTGATTTATCGCTGCAGCGTACGGCTCTGCGTTACGTCATCCCAGCCTGGTAAAGAAGCATTAATTACTCCGTTTAGTTGGCTCCGTATTCATTGCTCCCTCCATGTGATCTTAAATTTGCGTGTACCATGGGAAAAACAACTTAATTTTCTCCCGATTTATGGAACATAAATCAAAGGCGGAGAGCGAGACACGTTACAATGAGAGAACATTCTGGAAACTGAAATGAGCTTTTTAGTTGGGGATTATATTCCCATCCAGATTGACTGGTCTGTTTCTCCCTCCCCCAGCTGATGGTTCTGCACCCTCCTCCCCGATCGCTCCAAACATCGACTCTGACATGAAATAACGGCAGCAAAAACGGTTTATAATACAAGGAGTTATTCTTAATTCCAACCGTCCCCTCAACTACTAACTGAATTGAGACTTTATTTTGCCGTCTGCACAGGTACTGAAGCACATGTACGAAAATACCTAATCAATCACAAAAAAAAGCACTTTCGAGCACTGCTGTTTGACCCCAGTGTCCAGCAATGTCCCCATACTGCAGTGAGGTCATAATAAATACACCAAAGGGATTATGGGAGCTCTGTGTAAAGGGAACCCGCGTAGGGACAGGATGGTCACTCTGCCAGGACAAAGAGCTCTCTTAATTTGGCGGGGGGAGGGGTGGCTAATTGTTTTCCAATAGGCATCCTGCTAACAGCGATCCACAACAAAAGACTGTCTGCTGGCTTCCGGAGTCCGAGGCGACCGGCCGCCGTTATCGCTCCAGCGATTTAACTTTGCGACGGAGGGAAATTAAAACATCTGGGGAAATTCGCTGGGCCACTTTGATGTTGGAAATTAGAACAAAAAAACACAAAAAAAACCGGAAGAGTTGCCGTCGCAGCCAGAGCAGTCTTTGAGGAGATGGTAGCGACAGTTTAAAAACAAGGCATGGATGTAAACAACTCCTTGGTAACAGTGGCAGCGCTGGGGGCCACACATACCTCATTGAGGGAGGGGCTATTCTGGGGTTAAAACAATCAAAGCGGGCAAGCAGAACGGCGTTAATCAATTTGTCGGGGTACTTTAGGTGGGAATTTCATAGGGGGAACAATTACAGTACAGTTTAACCTTAACTAAACAGGCGAGAGGGAAATCCGATATAAACAGTGCAGCGGGGACGAGTGCGCTGAAATACGGCGACGAACGCGGCCGGCTTTGATGTCTTCCCTTCTGTCTTTCATCCTTCAGCTTTCATAACGTGCCTTTGATGTAAGCGTGTAACAAAGTCTCTTCTGCAGACCAAAGAGTAACGCCATCTCACCCCGGCTGCTTCCCGTACGCGTCTGCGCTGACATAAACAGGTCGGCCACTCAGCGGGCCAACCCAGATTCAGAGTCGACTGTGACGAGGGTGTGGATCCTAAAAGTAGAGGGCTGGGGTGGGGGGGCGAGGGCTGGGGGTGGGGGTGGGCATCGGCGGGCAGGCCACAGGCGAACAGCGGCGGGTTCCCGAAATGAGGTGAAAATGAGACATTTTGTGGCATTTCCTCTGCAAAAATGAAAGTAAACGCTGTTCAAGCTGGCATCCTTAGACCTGGATTGGAGGGGATTCTGGCCGAAACTGTGTGATCTTGTGCCATGGAGATCACAAGTTTAGACTGTAGACAGAAACCGGCTTAGAAACAGCCCATGTAGGCGCATAATGCCGGCATTCATTCTTATTATACTCACAGGCATCATGGCCAGGACGCAGAGAAAACAGCTTTTAACTGATTTGTTTTTCCAAAACTGTAAATTTAGATTCAGAATGCTTTAATTTGGCTTAGAGATAACCCACTGTATACCACAAACTTTCCAAAGTTGTCTGCAGGAATGAAAATGGCTTAAACAAAACTGTGGAGTAACAATGTATCCCCACCTTGCTGTTGATGTCTGCATTGCGGGTGAGCATCTGCCTCTCTGCCTCCCAGCGTGACTCCGCCTCCTGGCGAAGCTGTCGACTCTCCTCTCGAGCTGCATGTAAGCTGACCTGTAGGTCTGTGATCACCTGTGCAGGGAAGTGTGACATTAGTCTGACAGAGCTGGTGGTGAACACTGAAATGGAAAGCGGGCCGACAGAGCTGGTGGTAAACACTGAAATGGAAAGCGTGCCGACAGAGCTGGTGGTGAACACTGAAATGGAAAGCGGG